AGAATGGGAGCGGCGATCGCAATGGCCTGGTGAAGTCCAAGCCTGCTCCTCGGCAAGGCTGGCATGCTCTTGATTTCGGCGGACAGGGTCTCCGCGCGCTTGCGACATCTTTGTTTCACTATACTTTCCTCGAGAAATTGTACCTCAATCACAACAAGTTGAAGACACTCCCTCCGGCGATTGGCCAACTGCGGAAGCTCACCCACTTGGATCTGTCGAGCAATGATATTTCGGAGCTCCCCGAAGAGATCGGTATGCTCACAAGCTTGAAGCAGCTCCTCCTGTTTGATAACAACATTCGCACGCTTCCGTTCGAGATGGGTTATCTTTATAGATTAGAGATGTTGGGAATTGAAGGGAACCCTCTGAATGATATTTTGAAGTCTCAGATCATCAAGGAAGGAACCAAGGCCCTAGTCCGGTATCTGAGGGAAGAAATGCCAGGTTTGTGCTCACGACTCAAAGCTCTCACCATGCACCTCATACTAACTTCGTTTCCTAAAAGTGCATCTTCCTCCCCCGGATAGAGATTGGATCATCCTGGATGAGACCGCTAGCTCCTCCAACACTTCCATCGAGAAGATTACCGTCCTTTCCCACAACGCCCTCTGCGACTCTTCCGCAACCCCGAGTCACTTCGGTTATACCCCGTCCCGTGTCCTTTCTTGGGAATTCAGACGCGAGCTTATCCTGAGCGAGCTGAGGTCTCACGACTCGGACATTATCTGTCTGCAGGAAATCGACCAAGGCAGTTACAATGGATTTTTCCGGGAGCAGCTGGCTTATAACGATTACAAGGGTGTATACTGGCCTAGAGGTAGAGCTATGGGTATGCAAGAGGAGGAAGCGAAGTCGGTCGATGGCTGTGCCACCTTCTTCAAGGGAAGCAAGTTCATCCTTCTCGATAAGCAGATGATCAACTTCGGTCAAACAGCAGTGCGGCGACCGGATGCCAAGGGTCAAGATGACATTTACAACAGACTCTGGCAGAAGGATCACATTGCGGTAGTCATCTTCCTGGAGAACCGGCTGACAGGCTCCCGCTTCATCGTCGTGAACGCGCATCTCTACTGGGACCCTGCTTTCAAGGACGTGAAGTTGATTCAGACCGCCATTTTGATGGAGGAGATCACTAAGCTCTCCGAGAAGTACGCGAAATTCCCACCGTGTACTGACAAGACTGCATTCCGCTTCTCGGAAGCAGAAGGTGAATCGGAAACTCCTCCACCTGAACCCGCGCCGTCTATGGAGTATGCCAGTGGTGATCAGATCCCGCTATTCATGTGCGGTGATTTCAACTCGGCGCCTGGGTCGGCAGCGTATAACTTGGTCGCACACGGCCGGCTCACGGAGTCCCATCCGGACCTGGAGAAGAGGCTCTACGGCAACCTTAGTCGAGTCGGTATGACGCACCCGTTCAAGCTGAAGTCGGCGTACAACTCGATTGGCGAGCTGAGCTTCACGAACTATACTCCGGACTTCAAGGATATTCTTGACTATATTTGGTATACTTCCAACACACTTCATGTCTCGGCGTTACTTGGGGAGGTGGACAAGGATTATCTGCAGAAGGTGCCCGGGTTCCCCAATTTTCATTTTCCAAGTGATCATGTCGCATTATTTGCGGAGTTTACAGTTAAAGGGAAAAAGGGAAAGGTTGTGGAAGCGGATTTTGGGCCGCAACGGAATTGAAGGGACGGTGCATGTTGAATCTTACGAGACTGGTGTTTGTGTAGCCGGTTCATCTTGTTATCTCGGAATCTTTGGGGGCCTTTCGCGTGTCTGTGGTGTTAACTCTTTTTACTCTTTTTCTTCCTTCTTACGCTATCATGCTCTTGTTGCATTTTGTTTCTTTTCTTCTTTTCTTCCTTCCATTCTTGTGAGTTTACTTCCTGCTTACTGCTGTCGCCCAGCGGACTCTCGTTCAAATGGAACTCTGCGTATCCATGCATCATCTTTGGAAAGTAGTCGGTCACATCGGCGCAGCAGCTTTGCTTTATTTCACGCAACACACACTCACACTCTCTCACGCTCTCTTTTCTACTACTACTACGTCGTTCCTCCTCCCAGCTTTGGTATGTGTTAGGATCTGATTATGCCTTTTCTTCTTCTTCTTAACGACGATACTTTTATCTCTTCACTTTCCAACATGCTTTTCTCCAGTTGTTGTAGATTGAATCTCACGAACGGATTCTCTCTCTCTCCTTTCTTAACCTTTCTTCATCTCATCTCAATATTTCGCACTTAGGCGGGCGAATCGGTCTCATCTGTACCTCTGTGTGTGTATGTGCTCGTTGTATCCTTAGGCGACTACTACTTCTACTACGTACGTGCCTGTTGGTTTGGGCTTCGTTGGTTTGGGATTCGCTTGACGTGCTCAGCTTATTGTTCGTTGAAATTCTTTTCTTCTTGATGTAGAAAGAGAGTGGGTGGCTGGTTTGACATTTGTTGTTGTTGTTTAGTATGGGGAATCGGGAATGGGGGTAGTGCGTTTGCTATTAGTATATTTGAATAAGCCTGTTCTTAGTTATTTTGTTATTTTTTTCTCTTAGGTCTCTTACTATCTAGGTTGTAGATTGTAGTTCGGTGAGTGCATGTGTGTATGCTCTTTTTGTTATGGAGTGTGTTGTATGATTTCATCGTATTTGTAAATGAATTTTGAGTAATAGTACATGAGGTAGGTCTTTCTTCTATGGTATGCATGTTATGGTACAAATGGGTATCCAAGAATACTGCAGGTAGGTAGGCATATAAAGCGGGGAATCGTATGAAGCTCAGCTCAGCTCAGCTCACTTAGCTCCTCCGCGCATCCTCCTCTATCTTTCTCCAAATTCCAACAAAGCCACCGCCCACAATCCGCGCGCCAACCTTTGGCCGACACACAAGCACACTGTCTTCCTCCTTGGGTGTCTTCTCTTCAGAGACATCTGCGGATTCAGTCTCAACGGCACCCGTCTCTACGGACTCCTCTGAACCGGAACCCTCCTCGGCGGAGGAAGCCACCGACACATTATCCCGAGACTTCTTCACCGCGTGCCGGATATCCCATAGCCGACCACTGCTGATTCCGTTTCCGAGCTCGACAACCTTATCCTGAACGAAAGGTAGTCTCTGTCGACGAATGAGCTCCACACAGTCGCCGATCTGCGTCACGCTCGGCATGAATACAGCCAGGATGCCGTCCCGCTTCAGGATCGAGGCGACGTGGGGAATCCGTAGATGCGCGGAGGGCATATCCAGGATCGCGTAGGAGAGGAACGGCTCAACCTCATCTTTCTTGAGCGAAGAAAGGAGGCCCGTCGGTGCGCGTTGTCTCTTCTGCTCTGCGATCCAGTCCTCTACATGCCCGGCGTAGAAGTCCACATTGCCTGCGTAGATACCGCGACGGAAACCCCGGACGATACCTTCGGCGTGGACGGAGGATTTAGGCGTCACGTCGACGCTGTGGATAATTGCTTTGCGTTGGGAGCGCCAGGCGTCCCAGTTCTCCTGGTCGGGGTCCACGGTCGTTTCTGAAGCGCCATCTGCGGGCGGCTGTAACTTGCGGGTCGGAACCTCGCCGGGTTTGGTGGGTAGGTATGTGACTTGCGAGCTTGGGGGGAGGGGTGGAGGAGTAGAGTTGGCGCCTTGGATGGCGCGCGCTAGGTGTAGGGTCAGGGAGCCGTGGCCGGTGCCGGATTCGAGGATTTCAAGGGGCGGTGTGTCTGTTCCTTCGGCTGGGGGTGCGACGTGGATATCGAGGAGGGAAACGATGAGGTTGGCGTCTGCTGAGTAGATCTAATGGCATGCGTTAATGAGGAATTGGTTTGGGGGGGGGGGGGTGGTCGTGGTGCTCGTTGACGACGGTGTAGTTAGATTCGTACCGGCGTGACTAGACGGGGGGTCATGGCAACATATTCTTCGAGGGTAGGGAGGGAGAGTCGGTATTCAGGGCCTGTATTCAATGGAGATTATTAGAATGCGCCCGGATAGGTTAATATTGGAATGAAGAATATAACTGACCTTTCCGCGCCTGCACCAGATCCCGTACCCTCCGGCCGATGATGTTGTCGTGCTCCAATTGTCCGCGACGAGTGTCGGATTTATGACCCTTCCGCAAGGGTTTGCTTAGTAGCGGCGACTTGCCATGGACCACAACTCTATCTCCCTCTAAGTGGTGGATTTAATCTGTTAGTGTGGGATGGCGCGCAAACTGTGAACGAGCGAACGGCGTTCAGTCGAATAAAAGGTGTGACATACCCCGAAAGACGGAGAAATTGGTGTCGATTGAGCGGGCATAGCGAGGGACAGGAGTGGACGATGTTAAGCCTAGGGCTCGACGCAATGATTGCAGTAGACGAGCCATGGCGTGTGATGATTCGGAGGGAGTGATGCCCTCAATCAAGTGTCCGAGAAAGTATCGGCGCCGAAAAGATCGAGCATCAAAAATTCGGGACTTTGAGATTTGGAGACTCGCCGGGAAGATACTCGGTTCGGCTAGACCCAGAATGGTCAGAAAACTAGCATTAGACAAGGGAAATTAAGACTGGCTCCACCGAAAAGAGGACAATTCCAGCTTTTAGTGTCGCGCTGGAAATTATGGGGAACTCCGCATGGGTCCATCGTTGGTGGTGATTGTCCCTCCTTTGCACTTGATCGAGTCTAGTCTCTCTGCTTTCTCACCGCGGGGTTCTTCTTTTCTCTCTTTGCTTCTCTCCACTTAGAATCGCTCTCTCTCTCTCTCTCTCTCTCTCTCTCTCTCTCTCTTAAGTTCACATCTTTCTCCTTCCTTTTGTTACCCGAATATCCGACCGGTTTATTCCCATCCTCTGCCGTCCTTGATTTAGGTTTGTTCCCCCTGTTCCATTTCTCAGGGACAGAGTTATTGCCGTCGTATAATTTGAGCATCACCCAAACATGCGCAACAGAACGCGCCCTTTAATCAGTTCCTATATGTCAACCGACAGTGAGACTAACACGGATACTGCAGAACTATCGCCGCGAAATCAAAGCAACCAGGCCTTCATCATGACTGTCACCACGCTACCGTACATGAAAACGAACCCCAAGCTCATATTCTTCACCGATTTCGATGGAACGATCACCCTCGAAGACAGTAGGTACAGACGAAGTTCGCACAACATGTCCACTAGCTAAGTACTCGATGCAGGCAATGATGCTATGGTATCTACCCTTTACAACCTACAAGCACACCACTAAACCTGCATGTTACTGACACTTGGTCGCAAGATCGATAACCTTGGCTACGGGCGCGCAAAGCGCCGTCAAGGCAATGAGGCTGTCCTTGAGGGCACCATGAGCTTCCGGTATGTGAGTACAGACAGCATGTGTAGGCACCTTACTAATCTCTATTGTGAAGTGACGCTTTTCGCGACATGTTGGATAGCATCAAAACCCCCTACAACGAGTGCATCGAGTACCTCAAGAAGAACATGAAGCTGGATCCCTACTTCGTGGAATTCTACAAATGGTCCAAGGAGAACAACGTACCGATCGTGGTGTTGTCTTCCGGCATGATTCCAGTCATCAGCGCCCTCTTCGAGACGCTTTTGGGCGGCGAACCGGACGATCACCTCTACATCGTTGCCAACCAGGTCGAGAGTCGTGATGGCAAGGACATCAACTCCGAGGGTGGCTGGCAGATCAAGTACCATGACGATAGGTAAGGAAATCTTCTTGGAACCGGTCGCTGGGCCAGAACTGACGTCATACTGCTAGCCACTTCGGCCACGACAAGTCCCTGGAAATCAAGCCCTATGCCGCACTGCCGGACGGTGTGCGCCCGACCTTGTTGTACGCAGGAGATGGCGTGTCCGATTTGTCAGCCGCTGCAGAGACTGATCTTCTGTTTGCCAAAAAGGGCAAGGGTGCGTTTACCAAGATCTGACATTAAGGTTTGCATTATTTAGTTACTGACTCTTTTTCAGATTTGGTGACATTCTGCGAGCGCGAGAAGATTCCATTCACGCTATTTGAGAGCTGGGAGTCGATTCTCGCTACCACCAAGGACATCCTGGGTGGAAAGGTTTCAGTTAAGGAGGTTGCTCAGGATGGACTGACTGCAGTCCACGAGGGAGCCAACAAGAACTGATGCGGTGCAGCCAAGATAAGATATCATTCTTTCATGCTGTTAGATATAGATCGCTTGAGTATATACGCACCAGGGACATAGTACTAGTTTAGATATCATGATTATTAGATGGATTAGTTAATAGAAGTGATGATTTGCATATCAGTACGCGTTGTTTGGATTTTGCACGGAGTTGTGTAGGGTTCTAGGAGGCTATATCTGAATGGGTTAGTATATATGACTGACTCTTTTCATGAATAAATTGGCTTTGAGCTGAATATACTTTATATTGTTGACTACTAACAACTTAGGTAGCGAGAAACAAGCGGTATAGCAGTCTATCTTGGACTGAAGAAGAGTGTTGAGACATTATTCCTACTGTTCTTAATGGTATTCATACTATGATAATTTATAGTCCTATTCCCTGCTTATAGTTGATGAATTAAGACCGATAGTAAACTGACTTATATTAAACTCTGGAGTCAAAGGATCCATTTCAAGCTCCTCTATCTACTTTGGTTCTTTCTATCTGGATATTTTATCGCATCCCTACATCTACATTCTCGAAACTCAATTGTATACTATCCTGCGCACGTGTATCACGCGGACTTTATTATAGTTGTAAGTTATGTTGCAATCTGAGCTGAATATAGTTCGAGTGAGTCGGGCATAAAGTCATGATATCCGCTCACTTCAATTCAGAGGAGAAGAGCACAATAAGTGCAAATGCTGTGACAGCGCAGCCGCTAAGAAAATGTGCTACCGAGGAGAACAAGAAAAAGCACAATGCACGAAGGAGTACATAAGCAGGGGTATCCTCGCAGGGGTAAATTGGCCCCTTCTGGCAAATGCAACAGCAGCAAAGCAGTAGAAAGTAAATGACAATTCATACAAATGCAAGCCCCACCTTTTTCCTTTTCCTTTTCTTTGCGTTTCCCCTCCCACCAACTACTACTACGGTCCTGAATCCTGGCGTTTTTTCTCTTTCTTAGCCCAACGTACTGATCACATTTCAATGTCAGTACCGATACAGAAGTTTATCTAGTCAGATGATCAAGGAGGGGGAGAAACTCACAGCCACAAGCGTTACACAGAGTCTTTGGTCCTTCCGGGCCTTTCCTCCACTCGGGTGAGTCCGACGTCCCGCAATCCGTGCACATATACTCGCCTTTCATTCTTTTCTTCCTGTCAACGGCCTCTGCAGGATTCTTGGATTGTGTTTGCTGTGGCTGTTGCTGTTGCAATTGTTGCTGCTGTTGTTGGTCGCTCGCAGGAGCCGCAGCAGCAGCAGAATCGGCAGCAACGGTATTCGGCTGCTCCGCATCACAACGAACCAGACGGCCATGACGGACTCCCGTACTCAATCCCTGTGATCTTTCTCCTTCTCCGTAGTACAAGCCCGTCATAACCTCAATCCCGTCGATATGGGACATGTCTTCAGTCTGTGGCAACCGATCCCCAATCTGCTCCAGAAACGATCGCGAATCGGCGTCGTCCGTATTAGTGAATGTGTCGGATGATTCATTCTCCTCTCCAGATACTGATGTATCTCGTTGCGCAAACGAGGTTTGTGTCGTTGATACATACGTCTGGCGCGTTGTTGTCGTGGTAGTGGTGCTGGTTGTCGTTGTTGTTGACGTCTGCCCTGGTCTCGAATTCAACTCCTCTTCTTCCTCTTCCTTCAATTGGGCTATGCGCTGGTTCAGCCGGATGTTCTCGATCTTATGTTCCAGAAACGAATCGAGTAACTGTGAACCCCGCGTGGGATATGGTCGACAGACAAGGAATATCCCTTTACAGACTGTCTTTTGTTGCTGCAGCTGCTGGGATGATTCTGCGGTCGCAGAAGAAGCAGACCCGGTCGTCATTAGGTGTGGATGTCCATGCGCCTCTAATAGACAGGAGCTATTGTCAGGCCTACAGAGCCGGAAGTGACATCGGATTTCGCGTCCGGTCTTGATGCACTCGTCCAATTCGTGGCCTAGGATAGGCTTGTCGTCTTCATGGACGAAACGGGAGAAATCGCTTTGTTCTAGCATGTGCGATTCAATACCCGTCACCTCGGAGCATGATGGTGACGCGTATAGAACCTGTCCATCGTGACTGAGGAGAAGGAGCAGGTCTTTCAGTTCGTCTAGTACTCTCGCAGACCAGCCGTCATTGTTGGTGCCGGCAGGGCCTATGTCGGGAGTGGGGTGGTGGGGATTGCTGGTTCCCGCTGGCCCTGTAGTAGTTGTAGGTATGGAAGCAAGCGCAGGAACTGTGCTTGTGATAGTGGCAGGAGTCGTTGAAGTGGTAGCAGCAGCAGCGGAAGAAGAGATGGTAGCGGAAGCGGAGAGTTGAAGCAGATTAGCGGCGCCGCGGCTCATCGAGCGAGGAATACTCCGCGCGTCCATGCTATACGGGGGCCCCGGTGGTTTTGAGTTCGACACTGGGGCTCGTAGACCGTATGCCTGGGACGGAGTCTGGTTCTGCGCCACTCTTCGTCCTTGATGGAATTCGAGTTCCATCGCTGGGCTGCGCGGGGATCAAATCGATCGATCGCCGGGGTGGTGGGGACTCTTCTTTCCCGGGGGGGTGAAAAACTCGGTAGGTTTCCCTATAAAGAATATGATACAGAAAGGGATTGGAAGGAGATAGAGAGAGAAAGAAGAGAGGGTAAGTGAGCAGTGTTTCTTGGACTTTTTCTGGACATGACCGCGGTGGTGAATCCAGTAGAGCTGTCAATTCTTGTACTTTTGCTCTCGGCCACATCGTCATTGGTATCGCACTGACACGCGGGATCCACTGCGGCTGCCAATCAAATCCGTCGATGGGGCTTCCCGGGGATTTCCGCACTATCCGGCCTGCTAATTGGTGGGCTGCTGCGGCGTCGGGAAACTTTCAGGTACCGTTGTACAATACAGGTCGGTATGTCTGTATGATTGCTGCAGGGGGCATCCCGGTCGATGCTTCATTGCTTCAAAGTTGGGTATTCTTGCTGCTTCGCTTGCGCTCCGCTTGCGATACCAACCCCCCCCCCAAATGGATTATCTTGGATTCTATCCCTCTTGACTGGCCCTCCACTCCTACTCCTTTCCTGTTACGATCACCTCATCCCTGAAGCATACATCATCCTGCGTGGTGTGGTGTGGGATTATCTTGTCAAGCACGGGTTGACTATCTGGCTTCCGTTAGATCCGCTAGGGACGTGCATCGCGTAGCGCCGCCATCTACTAATTTTAACATTCGTGGGCTGATATCAGGCATCAATAATAGATGAAATTATCGACTATCTATCGACTATTTCGACTATCATCCCTTGAGGAGCCTGCAATCCGCATTTGCCTTCTTTTAATTCTCCGTGGGATATCCACACCGAACGCCCTTTACAATCTATCCCGCCTTGAAAGAACATGCAAAGCTGGGAAGCTGCAGATGCTAACGGTCACCCGTCTGTGCAAATTGCAGACGTCAGACCACACCGCACCCACGCGAACGGGTACGTTGGACTCTGTTAGGTGCTGGTGGAGATGGCCTAGAAAATTAAGCGAGCCCAGGCGCAGACCAGACCCGGAATGTCCTACCGGCGGGATGATCCCCCTGTCTTGGGAAGTCTGATACCATGCTCATGCCATGTTCTTCCTTCCAGCCTTACAAAGGATGAATGCACCTCCCACTTACGCTACTACAGATCACGAGCTACTACGCAGAGCAATGAGACGGTCAGATATGGCTGATACCATAGCTCTTTCTATAGCCCATATAAACTTATGTGCCACAGTATCTGAAGATTCATTAACATAACCAATCTGCTTCAATTGACAATTTGGCAAGAAAATCTCAATGTGAAGGCCCTACCAGGGAACCTGAGAACCACAATTACTGCCGTCACTATTCCAGGATCCTTCCACATTTTCTGAGACCGAGGCCATGACTAGCCAAGCCCCACCGTCTATCTTGTTCGACACGTCAGAAGCAACTACGACATGCACACGGAGGAACGGAAGCTTGGCGGCCGCTACTTCCCAAAGACAACATCAGCTTTGCTGATGCACCACTCAGCTGGAAGATCTTACTTACTGTTGAATCACAACTAGTATTTGCACCTGCACCTCAGTCCATAATAGTGACAACCACAGAAATGATAATCTTTATCATGGCAATTGCACACTTTCAAAACGCTGCATCTGCCTTCGCAGAAACGGTAATTCTTGAACTTGGTTAGCATTGATCCCACCAGCCAAATAGGATGGTGTTTACAGAGTTCAACTCTTCCTCGACATCTGTGGTAGCCATGGACATGCCATTACCGTCAACATCGTCGAAGGCCTCGTTAGGGTTATTGACGGCTGCAGTGCCAGTATTCCCAGCAACTACATCATCGACATTGGCAACTTCGGTAGGGTTGGCAGAAGAAGTGGCCAGGCTAGCCTTGAAGAAGAGACAGGACAAGCACAAGAGAACGATGATGTTCTTGAAGTGAAACATCCTGAATGGAGGTGAACCGGCACAGTATCTGAATGTGAGTGGAGTAGGGGTGGTTCGATGAGAGGATAGGTTTGAGAGAAGAGAGCCCTGAACGAGAGAAGGCTGGAATGTAGAGTGAGCCTTTTGTATGTGACACCTAGTGTTCGCAACATCAGCACTATGTGCACTTGAGTAACCGCTCTAGCCCAAAGAATCTACAGTTGATATCATCATAGTTGCCATGCCCGCTATTTACATCTGAGGCACAGCCTCTTGAACCTAGAGGTACGTGCAACATGGCATACAGCGAAGAGGTAGGGGTATCAATACACAATCTACTAGTCTTTGCATTGCCCGATTCGATGTTGTCGGAAACATGAAAACCCCCAGATAGGATTGCCAGTGATTCATCTGTTGCAGCCAGCCTGCTATCAAATAATTTAACGCAGGTGTATCGCGCAGGGATATCCTCTACTTACTTGTATACAGAGATTCCGGCAGGAACTTCATCCCATAGCCCATGTAGTCAAACTACCCGTGGGTCTTCTACCCAACCAAGAACGGGGCGTCCGTCCCCATAGGTTCCACGAAGTAGTATAGAGTCCCTCCAAGGAAGGGAAAGCATGCCCCAAAAAGAATGTATCAGCAAGCCACAGACCATCCAATCATGCCTTTACCAAAGCATCTCCACCACATTTAGGGCCCCTACCCCATCCCATCCTAGTGGTGTTCTCTAGAAAGCATATACATCCCAAATCAATATCCACCACCTCCCCAGCTGACCGCCCATACACGTGACCTCGCGCCGTCTCCCCGCGTCGACTGACGCGCCGATCCCAAGCGCAGCTGCTTGCTATCTATCCGGCACGCTTTCTTTATCCCGAGTGGAGAAAGAATATCACGGGGAAGGTGTGATTTGCAGGCCTGCTACCTACCCTTACGCATCCGTGGAAACGGACCCGGCCTTTTCTTCCCTCTTTTATTACCCTTCTATTGTGAAGTGACGTTTTCCATAATGTGAGATTTCGTTCTGCATCCGGCCACAAACATTCTTTACTAATTAGTCCCTCCGCAGGTGTAAGTTCCGCGGAGGTCGTGTGAACGATCGAGGGTACTAATCATCGGGGGTTTGTTTGTCGCAGCGAAGATAGATAAGTTGTCGATATTGGGGTGAGTGCTCCTTTTTTATGGTTTATTTGGGTGGAGAAATGCATAGGAGTGATTTGATTTGCTGACAGTTGCTTGTGATGGGCTCTAGTGTTCGGTCGTTCGATAATACGCGCAGCGAGACGATTCAGTTTCACACTCCTCTTACGCTGATTGTTGGGTATAATGGATCTGGAAAGACGGTATGATGGATGGTATATGATAGTATTATGGAGGTTGTCAGGCTGATGGAGTTGGGGGCAGACAATCATTGAGTGTCTTAAATATGCGACCACCGGCGATTTACCACCCAACAGCAAGGGTGGTGCGTTCATCCACGATCCGAAGGTACGCGATTCTATGAGATATGGTATTGAGTAGGATGGACAGACGTGCTGAGTTATTATGGCAGCTATGTGGCGAGAAGGAAGTCCTGGCCCAGGTGAAACTGTCGTTCAAAGGCACGTCAGGCGCGAAGATGGTCGCTACGAGGAGTCTACAACTCACGGTGAAGAAAACGACACGGCAGCAAAAGACACTAGAGGGTCAGTTGATGATGGTTAAGGATGGTGAGCGGACGTCTATTTCCTCCCGCGTGGCGGAGCTGGATCAGATCATGCCTCAGTATCTCGGTGTATCAAAGGCGATCCTGGACTCCGTTATATTCTGTCACCAGGACGAGAGCTTGTGGCCGATGAGCGAACCCTCAGTGCTGAAGAAGAAGTTCGATGAGATATTCGAAGCTATGAAGTATACGAAGGCGATCGACAATATCAAGTCTTTGCGGAAGAAGCAGAATGAGGAGCTTGCCAAGTACAAGATCATGGAGCAACATGCCAAAGAGGATAAGGAGAAGGCCGATCGTGCAGAGAAACGATCAATAAAGCTTCAGGATGAAATCGAAGCTCTGCGCGAAGAAACACACCAGCTCTCTCAGGAAATGCGCCGGGTGGCTGATCTTGCTGATAAGGCGTGGAAGGAGTCTGAAAGCTACTCTCAGGTGTTAGGTGCGCTTGAAGGAAAGCGTATTGAGGCCAAGAGTATTCAGACAACTATCGATAATCTCAAGAGACATTTGGTTGAGTTAGATGACTCCGATGAGTGGCTACAGTCGAACTTGGAGCAGTTTGAGTCAAGGCAGCTTCAGTACCAGCAGCAGGAAGAAGCCAAGAAGGAGAACTATATGGAGCTCAAGGAGCAGATAGAGCAGACTCGACAAAGACTGGGTGTCAAGCAAGCAGAGTATGGCAAGTTTGAGAACGACAAAGCCAACTTCGAGCGCCAGGTTGAGCGGCGACAGAGGATGACGAAAGAGGTCGCTCGAGCGCACAATATCCGTGGTTACGATAATGTCGAGGACCAGGCAGACGTTGATGAGTTCATGCGGAGAGTGCGAAAAATCCTGAAAGATCAAAACCTGGCACTGGAACGGGTGAGGAAGGAGGCGCAAAGTGAGCTACGTGACGTCCAGGCAACCCTTAACCAGATCGGACAACAGAAGTCTGCGCTACAGGAAAGCAAAAACGCAGCCAAGCGACAGATTGCCTCGAATGATAGGGAAGCAGCCACCTACCAAGGAAAACTCAACGAGATCAACGTGGACGAAGGCGTCCAGGCTGCCCTGGAGTCGAACGTTGAAGACATCGGATCTCGTTTGGACCAAGCCAAGGAGCGCGCACGATCCGCATCTTGGGACAAGGAGATTCAGAATGTGAATTTACAAATCCGCGACCTTGAGGATGAGAGTTCGCGCTTGAATACTGAGCTCATCGAGGCAACAAAGAAGGCTGGTGATTTGGCTCGATTAGACCACCTCAAGAAGGAATTGAAAGAACGGGAGCGCGGATTGGAGACGATGAAAGGCGCTCACGGTGAACGACTGACAAAATTTGTAAACGCCAACTGGAGCCCTGAATCTCTAGAACAGGATTACCAGCACGTCATAGAGGAGGAATCCAGACATGTCTCAAGGGCAGAGCGCGAGCGTGATGGAGTCAGCAGAGAACTCGAGCAGGTGGAGTTCAAAATGAAGGGCGTCAAGAAAACATTAAGTCAGCGACAGAAGGAACTCAAGGAGTGCATCAAAGAGATCCGCGATGCTGTCGATGACGAACCGGAAGAATACCCCGAGATTCTGAAAGAGCGTCAAGCCCAGCTCGATCTTGCCAGGAAGGACGCTGAACAATACGCCGGAGTCAGCAAGTACATGGCCGACTGTCTCGACACCGTGAAGTCGGCAAGGATGTGCAGATTGTGCATGCGGACTTTTCGAACCGAAAACGAGCTGCAGACCTTCAAGAACAAGTTAGAGGGGTTAGTGAAAAGAGCGAAACGGGTGATGGAGGATGACGAAATACCCCGTCTCGAAGAGGACCTTAATACCGCCCGCGAGGCCAGCACAGCCTACGATACCTGGTGTCGGCTGAAGCAGACAGAAATTCCAGATTTGGAGAAAGAGGAAGAAGAGTATACTGCCCAACAAGACAAGCTCCTGAGCCAATTGGAAGAGAACGACAAGATAGTCAGCGAAAAGGCCGATAAAAAGAAGGACGTCGAGTCATTGTCAAAGACGGTCAATACTATTGTCAGATACGACAGTGAAATCAAGTCCATACGCTCCCAGGTCCAGGACTTGTCTTCGAAACAGCACGATACGAATGCCTCTCGTACACTGGAAGATATTCAGGATGAAATTGCGGGCATTGGCGAGAAGTCTAGAGCCTTGAAGAAGACTCTGTCGAAACTCACTCACGAGAAGGAGCAAACATTGTCTGAGATGAACAAATTGGAGCTGCAACTCAGAGACGTCAAGAGCAACCTCGACAACGTGAAATTCAAGCTCGAGCGGAAGGCAGACCTCCTGGCTCGCATCGAAGAGTACAAGAACCTCAACAACCAACAACGCGAAGCCATTGCAAAGGCGGACAAAGAGATTGAAGATCTCACCCCTGAACTTCTCAAGGTCCAAGCCAAGTACGACGATATCAGCCAGCGTGCCGAAGCCCGTGAAAAGGACATGCAGCAGGAGATATCCCACCTCTACGAGAATGTACACCAACTTGAACTGGCAAACGAGGAGATCGACGCCTACAACGAGCGAGGCGGCCCTCATCAACTAGAGCGCAGCAAGCGTGAACTGCAAAGCATCGAGGACGAGATCAGCAATCTCGAAATCGAGCAAGCCAATATCACTAAAGAGATCAACAAGATATCTGCTCAACTCAAGGACAGCGAGAATACCAAGCGCCAATACGCGGATAACCTTACATACCGCCAGGCGACCCGATCTCTCGACGCAGTCACCGAAGAGATCGAGCAGCTGGCGGCGCAAAACGCCGAAGTCGACCGAAGCCGCTTCAGAGAAGAATCCGAGCGCAGAGCACGAGAACACAACGCGCTCGCCGCCAAACAAGCCAGCAAAATGGGCGAGATGAAAGGAAAGGACGACCAACTGATGCAGCTCCTCGCGGACTGGAATACCGACTACAAAGACGCAGCAAGCAAGTACAAGGAAGCGCACATCAAGGTGGAAACAACCAAAGCCGCAGTGGACGACCTAGCGCGGTATGGCGGCGCCCTCGACAAAGCCATCATGAAATATCACGGGCTCAAAATGGAAGAGATCAACGCCATCATCAGCGAGCTCTGGCAGAAGACCTACCGAGGCACTGACGTCGACACGATTCTCATCCGCTCCGACAACGAAAACGCCAAGGGCAACCGCTCCTACAACTACCGCGTCTGCATGGTCAAGCAAGGTGCAGAAATGGACATGCGCGGCCGCTGCAGTGCAGGTCAAAAGGTGCTAGCAAGTATCATCATCCGACTCGCTCTTGCGGAGTGCTTCGGCGTCAACTGTGGTCTAATTGCTCTTGATGAACCCACAACGAATCTTGACCGTGATAATATTCGCTCTCTTGCGGAATCGCTTCATGATATCATTAGGACTAGACAGCAACAGGCCAACTTCCAGCTTATTGTCATTACCCATGACGAGGAGTTCTTGCGGCATATGCAGTGCGGTGACTTCAGTGACTACTATTATCGGGTCTCGAGGAATGAGAAGCAGAAGTCGATTATTGAGAGGCAGTCTATTGCTGAGGTATGTTTGCTCCTTCTTCCGTTATCCCTAGGTGTGAAGTATACCTAGGGTTAGGGGTGATATTACAGGACTGACGTCGACTTCAGGTTATGTGATTTAACCACTCTTCGAGTTTCCGTTTATGGCTTGGACTGCAGGTCTCGCCATCTGGGAAGGAAGAGTGATTTGATCAGCGATCTTATAGTTACGTTCTATGTAAATTACCTGGTATTTGGTATGGTTAATGAGCATGAGGCGGCGTTGGGGAATCAAAAAAGAACACTATATTGCTTTTTGACATTTCACATCAAGTCCACTATATAGACACAATCCATATATTCTCTAGTACCACTCACTCCAGATCATCACCCTCCTCATCATCCAGCAACGGCACAAACCGGAAATCCACAAACGTCACAACAGGTGGCGGACCACCCTTGAGCGGCCGTACACCACCAGCCCCATTAGCATCAAACTCAATCATAAACTGAAGACTCAATACCCCCTGGCAATCCCCACGAATGCTCACTTTATTAGCCACCGCCATAGCACGCGCCGCCTTCTGAATCAGCGCGAACTTATAGTTCTGCTTGAGACGCGACCCCATGGACGACGGCGGACTGACCAGGAACGTCTCCGTGACCGTCGGCGCAAGTTTAGCTTTCTTCGCACGGGACCCTTCATCAGTTGGGCCTCTTGCATCACCTCCCGGACCATTAGCCGCGCTGTTCTCGACGGAGAATTCTACAGATGACTCGCTGAACGAGCCTCCCGTGCCGGAGAGAGCGAAGAATGGTTCGCGGGTCGCGGACGCGGAGATCTTCAATACCGATGGGCTTGTAGCGACTAGTTCTGAGATGGCGTTGTGGAGCCAGGCAGAGCGCATGATGATCTTCATGATGATGGCATCTCGTTGGAGAGGGATGTCGACTTCGCTGCCTTCGGTTTCGTAGGTTGTTAATTCGCAGGTGGTTTTGACGCCCGTCTCTGAGAGAGTGATGCTGAGGGGAGAGCCTTCGCTGGTGTAGCGAATTGTGCAGGAGCGGTCTAGGAGTAAGGACGGGGCGGAGAAGGCGCCAGGTCCGGATGGGTGGGTTGGTTGGACGCTGGATGCTCGACCGGCGTTGGGGTTCGTGGAGGAGTCGTTGGTGCCGAATATCTTGAGGGTTTCTAGGAGGGCGGACAAGGAGACGACGAAGCATGGGTAGTAGGTGGAGGGGTCGGAAGTTGTATCGTCGTCGTTGTCGTTGTTGTCTGTTGTCCCTTGGTTTGGCGCGGCTGGTGGGTTGAAGGTGTAGCTGGTGAAGAGGGCTTTGTCGAGGAAGGCGAGTCCTTGGATGACTCGCATCTCTTCAGCGGAGAAGCGGATTCCATCTGGGGTTATTTGCACAGTGGCCCTGGATGCGAAGCCGATGCATTGGAGAAGAGTGTAGAGGTGGTGGGCATTGCTGGAGACAGCAGTGAAGATGGGTTCCGTGTCCGCCATGATGGTTCGGAGTGAAATTGGCTTAAGCACGACAGAGTAGAGACTCGAGAGCTATGTTAAAATAGAGCTGGAGTGCGAAGAGAACTTTTTGGTGATTATAAAGGTAACGATATGCTTCGTTTCAAACTCTCCAGTGTATGGTACATGGGTATCTGGGAAACAACTGGAATTTTTTTTAAACGTAGACCCCAACGGCACAGATCATGAATACGGCTCCGAAGCTGGACGGGGAATTTGTTAGCGATGGTTAATAAGGTGGCTGTTGTTAGGGTAGATCTGTGGCTTACCCAAACGCCAAAGATGCCGGGACTCCGAAGGAAGCGATGCTGAGGAAGGAACGATCTGCGCAAGTTGTAAGTATATGGTTGTGACAAGAGTACAAGACATTTCATATGTGGAAATGATCTCTGGTGTGGTGTAAGTACTGACTCAATCCGAAAAGTCCAGTGAGGATGAAGGCTGTTGTAAGTTAGTAATTGTTTGGAGTGTGAGAGAGGTCGGGGTCCGGCTCACCAGCAAGTAGTAGACTGAAGCCGACAAAGAACTGGCTGTCTTTAGAGACTGGGGGAGTATACGGGCTCGCAGAAGCTGCCTGCCAGACTTCGTTCAGAGACATGAGGGCTTGTGAGATGCGCTTAATTTCAATGGCTTGTGTATAAAGGAGAGAAGACAGTTTAAAGAGAGGAAATGAGGAGAAGAAGGAGGAGAGGGACCTTCCCTCAAGCTGTCGTCGTAATGCCATGGAGCCCGAACTAGTAATTGGTTATCTGGCTTGACGGCCGCGGATCAACTTCTTCCCGTTCCGCTCCCCGTATCGCGGCCGCAGCTCGTGTGGAGAGAGTCGCTGAGGTTCAAGACGCTTTCGTCCAGAAGTCATCGGAATTCGTCGCGCATCATGCCTGCAATCACAGATAGTAAGTATTCGATGCTGGATCACGCGTTCTTGCGACTGTTCTGGTCTTTTCGCTCATGTCAAATCCAGGTGCCAAGCGGAAAGCATCGGAGGAGGCGCTCTCCCCAGATTCCCACAAGAAGGCGCGCACTGACTCCCCCGAGAGGGAACCCAAGGTATGTTGCATATCCTCGTTTCTGTCTGGAGTATGAGACTAATGTACTTTGCTTGCCTTAGACCGAAGATGACCTCCTAGATAAGCCACCGAGAATCGTTCCCTTCCCGGAGAAGGTAAGCCTCAAACGAGCCCGCAACCCGCCCGAGCTCCGATGACGCTGACTCCACGGTAGCCTGCAGTTCTGGAGGAACGTCGCGGCGACATCGAGTTTCGTGTAGTCAACAACGATGGATCTCGCGACAGCTTTGTTGTCCTTACAGGTCTCAAATGCATCTTTCAAAAACAGCTCCCCAAGATGCCTAAAGACTACATCGCGCGATTGGTCTATGACAGGTCGCATCTTTCCTTGGCTATCGTCAAACACCCTTTGGAAGTCGTGGGAGGCATTACATACCGACCATTCAACAGTCGCAGGTTCGCCGAAATCGTTTTCTGTGCCATCTCGTCCGACCAGCAAGTCAAAGGATACGGTGCGCACTTGATGTCTCATCTCAAGGATTATGTCAAAGCCACATCGGACATCATGCACTTCCTCACATACGCCGATAATTACGCCATTGGATACTTCAAGAAACAAGGGTTCACTAAAGAAATAACCCTTGACAAATCCGTTTGGATGGGATACATTAAGGATTATGAGGGTGGTACAATCATGCAGTGCACCATGCTACCTAAGATACGGTACCTCGAGGTTGGCCGCATGCTTCTGAAGCAGAAGGAAGCCGTACACGCGAAGATCCGGGCCTTTAGTCGCTCACATATCATTCACGCGCCCCCGAAGGAATGGAAGAATGGTCCGTGTAAGATTGACCCATTGAGTATACCAGCTATCAAAGAATCGGGATGGTCACCGGACATGGATGAGCTAGCACGTCAACCACGCCACGGACCCAACTACAATCAGCTGCTACATCTTCTTAATGATATGCAGAACCACAGCGCGGCATGGCCATTTACTCAACCAGTCAATCGCGATGAGGTTCCTGACTATTACGAAGTCATCAAGGAGCCCATGGATCTGTCAACCATGGAAGAGAAGCATGAAAAGGACATGTATCCGACGCCGCAAGACTTCATTAAAGATGCTATGTTGATATTTGATAATTGTCGGAGGTACAATAACGAGAACACGCCCTATGCAAAGAGTGCCAATAAACTAGAGAAGTTCATGTGGCAACAGATTCGAAATATCCCGGAGTGGTCGGTGAGTACTGAAACCTGATTCTCCTTCTTGGATGCCGATACCTATCTTGTTCTTATCCGCTGACATGACACAGCACTTGGCCGACGGGCATTGATACTAGCGTACTCTGTATGTTGGAGTTCTTTAAAGGCGTTTCCGTGGCGTGAACAAATACCCAGGCGTGGAGAACATGGTTTATTTTAGCTTTTAGCCTGTCTCTTCAAATTTCGTGTTTCAATAATTTCCGACAATACTAAACACATTGATCGGTCGCAGCCATGCTCAGAAACGTTCGCTTATTTGCTCCCTTACGCGCTATCACCACCCAAGGCCCCATTGTTCGTCCGCGACGAACGTCCCACTCAGTTTCTCCGGGTCGCCTTCTGTGGCAGCGCGCACAATGACCCTGGCCCCGTCGCTTGCTTCCTTGACTCCTTGACCTCCGTTGATACTGGTGCGGCAGTAGCCCGGGGCAGCCGCAATGACAGCAATCTTCTCATCAGCCAGCTTTACCGCATGAGCGACGGTGATCATATTAACCGCTGCTTTGCTACTGCGGTAGTCAGGTATGAAATAGGTCTTTGCGCTAGCCGGATGATCCTTGTGGCCGGCTCTGCTGATCAGACCCTGCCCGGACGTGACATTGACAATGCGGCGATCGGGATACGCCGATGCACGCAGCAATGGGAGGAATGTATCCATGACAACCACTATGCCAAACACGTTGACATCGAAAACTTGCCGGTATTGCTCGCGCAGGGTAGTGGCGGGTGTCTGCGCAATGCCCGCATTATTGATCAGGATGTCCAGACGTCCGAATGTTTCCGAGACGGTCTGCGCAGCTGCAGCGATGGACGCATCATCTGTCACATCGATGGTAATGGGTGTGAGAGCTGATTTGTCCACTGCATCCGATTCCAGCTCCTTAACTGCAGCTTCGGCCTTGAGTGTCGTGCGTGCGCCGACTAGCACATGGAACTTGCCTGAGCTAGCTAGCTGCTGTGCCACGGCGAAGCCGATGCCTTGATTGGCACCGGTGATGAGAACGAGGATTTTGGAGGTTGTCATTTTGCGTGGAATAATTGAGGTGATAATTGCGAGAGCTGATTATGTCTGGATCCATTGGGATCTGGGATCCTTGATATAGTTTTTACTGTCCGTAGAAGTCCGAACCCCGAATCCGTTAACTCCGTTACGACCTTCTAAGACCTCTTTAATAAGCACTGCTTGCCCGACTGTCCTCCTAATCGCCGTAGCATGTTTAGTATAGTAGTAGTATACTGGGTAGAAGAAGTGGCGAATTCAACTTGTGAATAACTAATTGGACACATTTCGTCTCACTTGGATTAATCGTTACTGGATGTATACTGTAAAATCTGTCCATAAGATTCTTGAAGGACTCGTTCGACGCAAAATGTCCAGTACAAACACAAAGCTACAATTCTCTATGAACCCCGTCAGTCGAGGAAGGTGCAGAGATAAGACCAGTCGACTGGACCCTCCGAGAGTATTGTTGGAAAAAATCCAGCTGACCATGAAGGAGTTACCATTTCAAACCATGGAGGTCTGACATGTTAGAGAGTTCGGACTGAAACCTTAGCCTTGGCGTTAGCTTAGAAGTGGCTTAAGAAGATCATTTGGCATATTTCCTGAATAGTAAGCAGGACATGAACATAGCGGTGAAGAGTAAGTACACTAAGTGGTTAATTCATTTTCTATGCAATATGCCTGTTACTCTATGCTATCTAGTTCGGTGTAGGAGATAGTCTAGGAACCAAAAAACAAGAGGCACCATAAACAATGATATCATTGAGTAACCTTAAAACGAAGATTATTAGAAACGGGGGGGTCACTGGGCTTATCATCGGCACGATTTTCATCATTTGCCGTCCCGGTTTTTCAATCTAATTAAATATTTGCCCAGTGCACATAAAGCAAAACACTCGTTTTTGGGGTGGCTTGCAGGAAAATAACGGTCCAGTCCATGACCCGCCCCCGGGCAAAATGGACATTGTTCGAGATTTTGATTATTATTATTTTAAAAATAGGGCACAGATTGCAGATTGGAAGGTACTTGGAAAAAAAAAAAAAAATTCTGTCTAGTCATGTTTACCAGCCACGGCCCTGCAATAATCACATATTATTATGAACCGACCGAGAACCAACGGTGCGGATCCGCCGTGGGTTGCTTTTTTTTGGGTGGGATGGATGTGGAATGGAGCCTGTCGGTTGGACAGTAGATGAGACCAACAGAAGGGTTGCAGAGGATGTACTAGTGCCGTAATTGAGGTGACTGGGGAGGGGCGAATTTCTTTTCCTGCATTACAGAAGAGATTGTATTGTATTTTCCATATACTGGACTTAGGGAAAAGGAGAAATCATCCTCTCTCTCTACTCCGTAGACAGTAAGCAATCATCAACATCATCATCAGCTACCCCTTGGCGAGTGTCAAAAGATCCAAAAGATCGGCCGCAAGTGGAACCAGGTCATTTCGGGGAAACATTAATGCGAGGAACCATTGCTGGAAAGGGAGTGGGGACTCAGGCACCTCCCTCAGGCATCACGAATCAACGAACTCCAAACTAGTAGTCAGTCGTCTTTTCGCCCGTCGCTGCGTGTCTGCGGGCTGGCCATCCACACCCTTTCCCTCGCTTTTACCCTTGGCTTCGTCAATCTCTTTTCCCCTCCTCCTCCTCCTCTCGCTCTCGCTCTTGTTGCTGCCTGTGAATCCACATCCCGAGCCTCTCCTGGATGGCTTCTGTCGCAACTTCCTGACCTCTCCTGCAGTCGGTCGGCTGTTTTGTTTACTGCCTCGGAGTCGGAATACCTTACGACCTTCTGCAGGGCCTCCTGGCTTGCACCTAGGCCTCAATTCGTCCCCGTATCGCTGCAATTCCATGCTCAACTGCCGAACTCCAACTGTTTGACCGTCCTTCTTTTTTTATCGTCGCGTCTCGCCAGCCTTTTCCTCGATCAGCTACAGACATAACACGCCGGATCCCTTCCCAATTGCTCTTTCGACTCCTTTGTCAAACCCCCGTCCCTAACTCAAATCCGACGTTCGCTCGTTCCCCTTTTCGGCCCCTCATCGCGGCGCAGCTCCTTCGAGCCTGATTCAGGAAGAGTTAAAAAAAAATCCAACACCTACCCTTCAGCAAGAGAGATCCCCAACATTCGTTCCATCATGGCGTCGCCCTCTCTTTCGAGCTTGGAGCAGCGCAATCGCCTCCCTACGCTCTTCGAGGTCCTCAGTCGCCGGACCCTCGCTCCCGTCGACCTGTTTTCCTTCTATATCTATATGCGGGATCAACAGCGCTCGGTGGATTATCTGGACTTCTGGTATGATTGGGAAACATTGTGTTACCTGCTGGCGGGCTGTTAATAACCCATGTCTCTATTTTAGGCTCGATGTCTCGCAACACATGTCCCTCTGTCGTCATTACGTTCGGGAACTACGTCGGTCCGTTTTGGTAGCGACGCCTGATCTTGAGAAAGCCGACAGCAAAGGATCGTCCGGGGCGTTGGATAATTTCGAGCATTACAACGACATCCCACTTGTTGAAGCTGGTCCCTCCAACTCACGCCATGGATTAAACGATGTCGGCGACCGGGATGCCGACCAGAGACTGTCGGCATTCCTCCGCTCTGAAGGCCAAACATCCGGACACTCGCCCCAAAGCAGCCTTGGTTCGCAGAATGCTGCTCGCACCACATCGAATGAGCTGCAACCTCGGGACAGTTCTGGGACTCGGAATGACTCGCCTTCGCCAGGCCATACGGTGGCACGTGCTGATATTCGCGCCAGCGCAGAGAAGATCCTCTACACGTACCTGCTTCCCGGGGCAGAGAGAGAAATTGTTCTCCCCGAGGAGATGGTATCCGGCATCATCAATCTGATCGAAGACGATGGCAGAGACGATCCTGAAGTATTCGATCCGGCGAAAGACTATGTCTTTCAGGCAATGGAGCGCGACGCTTTTCCAGGGTTCTTGCAGGCCAAAGCTTTGGGAAATCTGGTCCCCTTGACGATTCTCGCACGGCTGGCGTTTGCCCTCATTAGCTTCGGTGGAGGCTTCTGGGGCGCGTTCTACGTGGTTCTCCGGGATAAACCACGGCATATTCGTTGCTGGGTAAGTAGCCAATGCTCGTCCAGAGGCCTGATATCCGACTAACACCTGACCAGTTGATCTTACCTTTTGCCATTGCGTCTTACTTCATCGTCTCGTACCAGTACAAGATCGACCCGGTCATGGCGTTCCTCGGCTACAGCGAGTACACCTTCATGAATTGGTCGCCGATTCGCGAGCCATACGTGCGCAAACTGCTGAACAAGCGGGCCACGGCCACGGCCATGATCGCCTTCTTTGTCGCTGCAGCGTTGAGTATACTGTTCATCTTTGTGCCCGGTACTATGCTCTAATCTCCATAATATCGCGTATACCCTTGCCGATTTCCTTTCCGAAATCTGTTTCAATTTCTACGGCCGCGTGATACCGCTTTTGGGCAGCATATATGTGCATCTTGATTCTTTCTGAGCGTTAGCCAGCGATCTTGCTTCTTGGGTCCATTCAGCGCATGGATACAGAGAGAAGTTCTTCCTCCCCGAATGACCTCGGGGAGTCTCTTAATATGAGAAGGGGCAGATACCCAGTGCGTGGAGCACCAGTGATGGCTGCTCATGCCTCTGGTCCCATCGCGTATGGGATTTACATCTACCAACTATCCATGGACTGGCGTGACACACCAGGTCCGTCGGGTCACGACGTTCATTTCACAGACACACCCTACACCCTGTGTATATTGGGTTTTTCTTTCATTGTTTATTTACCTTTCTACATAATACCCCTCATCTGCTGGATTTGCATGTACGTTAAACGATTTCTCTGAGGCTTTGGTGTTGTGGTTAGTCCACGGTAATTAGATTCTATTATTATGATATATTGATGCCATATTATGTTGGACTCTAAGCAGTACCTTGATGAAATTTCATTCTCAGCTTCCCATTACTCGTAAATTCATAGAATCTTTCGGAGACTCGAAACGCTACCATGCTATTCGCTATAATGGGACTCACGCCCATAGTAATAGTACCACTACCGTAGGTAAATAACTATGACTTCTTCCCCAACACCCGCTTAGGATGTCTAGCCGGTCCCGAAGAAGCACCACTACCACCACCACCCAACCTCACTCCAGCCCCATCATCAATATCCATCCTAGATCCCCCACCTCCCATCCCATCCCCTCCTTCAAGCCCGTGCTCCCAATATCCATCATCATCATCAAACTCATCCGCCGCAAACTCCCTCTTATTCCCCCCAATCACCCCACCACCCCTACTACCCTGCTGCCACCCACCACCACCTCCTCCTCCACCGACCTTCTTCTCCTCCATCTTAGCCCCCCACCCGGCAAGCGCCTTCTCAAACAACACCTCCTTCTCCCGCTCCTCCGCCCTCCGTCTCGCCGACTCCGTCTTAATCCGCAATATCTCGGCCTCAATATCCCCAATCACATTCCCGCAGCGCGTCTCCCACGCCGTCAGAATATCGATCATCTTACCCAGCGACTCGGGCTTCACGTCCCGAAGCGGCGCCACGGAAGTGACATTCACAGTGGGCGGGGTGGAAGCGGGCGATAGACGGGCGGTGATCAGTGAGGCGTAGATGGCTTTTGTGACGAGGGATTCGAGCTCCGAGGGTTGTGTGATGTTTAGGGCTGTCATGAGGGAGCTGTAGGTTAGCGGGGTGGTGGTTGTCGAGAGGGTGAGGAGGGAGAGGAGTCGGAGTTTGAGTGTTTGGGCGTCGTTGAGGGGGGGGAGGTTGGGTGTTGCTGTTTCAGTCGGTCAGAGGACATTATTACTTTGGGAGAGGTGGGTATTCGGGGGAGAAAGGCTTACATTGATAGTCTTGCCATGTGCCCCAGGCAAAGATTTCTAGGAGAGTCAGGTAGCTTGCATATTCGGCTGGGGTGTTGGGGTCCCGGAGGGATTGGATGGCTGGGGTGGTGAGGAGTTCGGCGAATACGTAGGTGTTTGGGTTGGAGGTCGCGTTGGTGATTAGGTTTGTGATGAAGCGTGGGGAGGTCGCGCTGTTGGAGGTGGCGAGGTGAATGAATGGTTGGAGGGCTTCGAGGGCCCGGGTGTGTATTTGGTCCATTTTGTGGTGGTGGTGGTGGTGGTCGTGATGTC